GAAAGCCAAGTATCCAATTACTCCAGCCACAGAAGCCTACGAACACATCGGATATGTAAATTCGCGCTTTGTTTGACGTGTTGTCGGTGCGCAAAATGGCACCACAGTGGTTTCAAAATTCTGCTACTCTCTATGTATTTCTTCAGAATCCTGTGAAGATATTGAAAGGATATTGTTTTGTACACCAACTATTCCTTTTACTGGTATATCCTTTTATATACTTTTTACTGGTTGCCTTTTCTTATTGCAGCACATAATTACATTTCTATCTAATATTGAAAATAATATTTTCCTTTATATTCCTTTTTAATTATTTATGTAAATTTTATTAGTATAAATTATTATTATAGTACTACAAATAAATAGTGGTAGCATTCCTTTGAAATCGTAGTAGTTTATGTACCGATTCTGTGACGAAGAAAAGCTCAGGCAGACAGAGCTTGCTAGTTACGGTGAGGGGAATATATCATGTTTGCCACATGTCTCTCTTAACCCCCAAGCGTGGGATTTGAACTAGGCTCAGGAATGGGGGACAGTGTTAACTAAATAGTGCATTTTTCTTCATGAGTCAATTAAGTTTTCTATATCAAAGATGCCCATCTGCGTTCCGATGCCTAGCACCTTCGCACAGTACGACGCGAAGCAAATCCGTGAACGCTGTAATATTTCTCCGCTCGATTGTGGAATCGTGGGGAAGCTGCAGAGATATGCGTGGAAAATCCATCCCCGTAATTACTGCTTGAAGCAAAGAATGCCGCAGAAATGTGGGCATCTGTTAAGGAGTGAATACCGGGTCCCCAACTTGTTCCTGCCAGCGAACACCTCTGCGGCCACAAATCGTGGCGGCTTCATCTTCTGCGAGGTCGCCACACCCACAAACAGCTTGAGTTTTATTGCCAGCAGGCACGCGGACGGGCAGGTCGGACTACCCGGACTGGTGACGTGGATGTAGGGGATGGAGGAGTGCACTTCTCCCCCAAAAAATGATTTTTGAGATAATTTCTAGGTCATTTCTGACATCTTGTTTAAGTTGTACCTGATATCTGATAAAAACTCAATCGGTGTTTCGTGGGTCAGGCGTCCAATGAGAGATCAAGAAAGGAATTATCTATGGCACGTTAAAATAATTCGAGCTGAGAAGATTGAGTTTTGAAGACAATACCCATAATTTTTTTGACAACACTTGGTTAAACTAGAATATAAGCATTTTCGATTGATACACAGCTGATCACCAGACCCTACAGGAAACATTTGGAAATCAGATTCATTGTGGAGATAATGGAACTTCACTTGCCCACCGACTGAATGTCCACGTCGTTGCCTCTAAATGCCTTCTCCCTTCCCTGGCAATAGCATTGCAGCTACTACCATTGTTCGCATAGCTTTAGCGACGGTCCCTTCGCACTGCTGCATCAAGACTCTTAATTGCTCGTGTTTGGTTTGTTACATAAACAAATTATTTTCAGGAATAACCCTCTTCCTACCCTCATATTCTGAATTTTCTTGGTTTAGAAAGTATTTCGTAATACTCGCTGACGAGTTTGGAAATCCTGCTGGATCGAAGATCATATGGAAAATGTTGAGCCCTTCACTTGACGATTCCAGTTAAGGCAAAATACCAATAGTGTTAGAACATGTTTGCAGAGTGAATGAAAAGGAATAGACTAAAATATTAAAATGCACAATGCAATTAAGTCAGACATAGTTGCCTTCTTGAAACTAAATGTAAGTTAGAGTCACTTTGGTACTAGAGAAAATATATAGCATTTCTTGCCAATATGAACGATAAAATTTAAATAATAAATATGATGCTATCTTGGCCTTAGACTAAAGTATTTAAGTGCAGTCACAAGAGTCACGATAGAACGTTACCTAAGACAAAGAGCTAAAGAAACCGTAAATTAAACGCCTAGAGTCCGGTAAAGCACACGGCAAGCGATCCCGATACCAGCAGCGCGTGTAGGATATTCGTACATCTTCCCACTCGGACCGAACAAGCTTCGGCATTCCTTCTCTCCTGGATGTATGGAAGCGTGCTCGGCGAAGCAGGATAATATTGTATTGCGCGCTGAATGAAGACGTGATAATAAAAGCACGCGCGCGCGGGGGCGTGCGCCGAGAGGCGTCGTGAGCGGCGAGATGGGGTAATCGCATCTCGCGGCGGGCGACGCGACGCGACGCGCGATGCACGGCCCCATAAACACAGCCCCGCGCGCCGGGAAAATCGATCTCGCATCACGGAGGAACAGGTTCACAGACGTCGCTTGCGAAAGGGATGGGCTTCCCCGACAGCCAGGAATTTTAGAAATGGACCTTCAAGACTGAGAACAGGGGAGACGTTTCTTTAGGTCAAATGTGGCAGTTGTTGGACCAATTAATAACACCAAACAGAAATTTACTTTTTCAATTATTATAAACACATGGGGGTGGATAATATTTTTATCTGCAGCCAATAATGCGTATGTATACAATTTTAACTAAATAATAATTAGCTAAAATTTAATCAAAATTGTTGCTGCCGCTTTTGAGAAAAAAATGTTTAAACAAAATTAAATATTGTCCAATTTTTACGCAAAACTTCGCGAAAAGTACCAACATTTTCGAAAAATTGTACATCACTATCTTTCAAAATCTATCTTTAAGGAACAGATTTTGTTAAGGGAAAAAATATTCATCTTCAATATTTGAGAAGTGGGATGTTGAGGCTGCGAAATACTCGTATATAAACTAATCTAATAGATGGGAGAGCAATTAGTAGAAGCTGAAACGAAATATTGCCTCTTCCATCAGTAGTTTTTTGTCAGATAAGAGTGTTCTGGAAAAGAGACGACACACAATTGACAAGGATTGTTACTTGGAAAAAGAATTAACGAGTATTGAAGAAAATTGTCACAGTTACCTCTGTCCAGATGAAATCAAACGTTTCTTTACGAATTTCGTCGTTTTTATTTCATGTTATGGCTGCATCCAAGTGCCTGGCATACTCTGAATTGAAGCTTGAAAGCGTCCAGCACGTTTTTACTAAGCTTTCTGCACTTCGCCTCTGATGACAATGCGAGCTGGCGTCTGAGGTAGAAATCGGTGTGTTCCCCGTATTTCGACAATAGTAATTTTACGCGGGGCTGCCCAAGAGCTGATGCGATCTTTCAGTGACGCTTCAAACTAACAGGAAGTAGTTGTCAATATACGTCAAGGAACTTTGTATGAAAGAAGTGAGTATTTGGTCAACAGGGAAGAAATTTGCGCGGCGTTCTCGAAAGCGCCAAATTTGAAATACATCATCCCTTTCTCCGAAATGCCTTCAAAGAACATCAAAAGTGCTCTATTAAAAAACAAGGCGCCAATTTGAAGTAATTTGGCGGTCAACGTGCCAACATAACAAGACGCCAAAAAAATTGTGAATTTTTGAAATTTTCAAAACATCAGAATTTTCAACGTACATGACCTTCGCAACGTTCCCCTAAAAGGACCTTCACACTATCCAATAAAAAAAATTATTTTTAAAATGACCCAGAGGCTTCATGTTAGTACCCCCCAAAAGTAAAATTTCGGTTTCAAATTCAAGGAGTCGCGATATCAGCCAGATCAATAACGGAATGTCAATTTTGGAGAAAATCGGATGTTAGAGGATTTTTACTTTAAATTTAGCATCTGGATTTATTCACATTTTTATTACCAGGGTTCGACCATAAGTTTTTCTGCCGAAAATTCGCCTTTTCCTCCGCAGCATTAAATAACTTTTTCTCTGCTGCGTAAGCGGGAACGAGAAAGTAAAAATATATATCTTCAATATTGTAATCACAAGATGTCAATGACCAAATTTGAAACTTCTGCAACTTATCGAAAATTCACATAATTCAACGAAAAATGGACCAACGCTATTTCTAAGCGTTATTTGCTGTATTTGAAAAAAAAAAAAAGTCTATTTTCAAGAAAATTTTGAAAATGTCGTTATCAGCTTAAGTTGTTTGGGGCATCAATTGATGTCCATGCGGAGCCTCTGACCGGGAGGGCCTAGGGTTCGAGTCCTGACAGTGAGATGATTTTCGACTATAGCTACATAACTAAGTCAAATTCCGCCGCTGTTTAGAAAATTCTAGCTAGGACTGCTCAGATCGGTATTTTCTTGTGGTTTCTTCGATCAACACTGGGCGAATGCCGGGAATTTGGAATATATTGTATCAACTTTCCAAGCCAATTTTCAACTAGAGTGTTTCCCGTGTCTTGGATATTATTTGCATAATTTCGTGAAACTTTCAATGATGCCATGATCTTTTTTTAACCTGTGTAATTGTTGATGAATACTAAGATAAGGAAAAGTTTCGGTATGTCGCACATTCCCATTAGTTTTACATTGGATTAATTTCACTCAATTCTGTTCGCTAAAAATATTAATATTATGAAAAAATTTGCCTGATATTATTTAAAGCCTTGGTCTGCGCGAAAGCGGTAATCGCCCAATTACACCGTACAATCGAAGTTTGAGGGGCTCTATTGAGATTCTTGATGTGGTTCCACCGGAAATGGAGGAAAATGAGAAAATGTTTAAAACCAGAGTTGATACAAACATTAAGCCTTCTGCTCAACCGTACACAATTCTATTGCAGGGAAACAACCATACCTTACTAAATGAGTATTCAGAATCTACATACACATTCAGTAATTATGTAGAACGTTTTATTATACGGCAAAATACAAAACAAAAATTACTATGAAACACAAGAAATACTGTTATATGATACAGGAATGTAGAGAAAGCACACAGAATGCATTTTCAAACGTATCTCAAAAATAATTTATTTCTACGTGCATATCAATATCAGTCTCCTAGCTACTCATAAACATCATTTCGGAACACTGTCAACTAAACAGAAATGCAATCGTAACACTATTAAAAAGATTCTCCAAACAATATGTGCGGACCGCACATTTAAAAAAACTTGGAAAACGCTTTGGAAAAAGGACACATTTGAAAATCGAGGAACAACAAAGCACTCGGATTATTCATCAATTCTAAAAAGTTCCAAATTGCATCTTCAAGAAATATGATATTCTATAAAATATAGCGGAAAATAAATACAATGTGTCGGCCCTTTTTACCGATTGACAATTTTATTTACACACATTTAACAAGAATAACTTCAGCAAAAATGTAATGATTGCCTTAAAAAATCTATGTCAAAGTGAGTTATCATGATTGTTAAATTAAATATATTCTAAAATTATGGTTAAAACTATAATCCATAATTTGCGAGACATTTTTGATGGCTAGAAATACACTGCACATAGTGATATGTAAACTCATTCATTATTAGTGTGCTTAATTTTAAGTGGCAGAACGACCTCTTTAAAATAATCTAATATCCTAAATGTAGATGTATTCTCAAATACTCATTTTAACAAAAGGTTTTCAATTTTGTGCTTTTAAAGAGGGTGCAAAAATATAAAAGTAATGCACTTATTGTTATTTTATAGTTCATCGTCATACATATTTAGTTTGTGTAATTGAAAATATATTGTACATTATGAACAATTTGCCTTTGAAATTTCCCGTAACTTATTTCATAAAGCAGACGGTGGAAAAACAATTATTTCGAGACAATATCTCTGCAAGATAACTCTTCGTTTTATCAAATAACTTCGCACACATTGGGCTTCGACTGGCTATCATGTGCAAATCCAGTTCACGGGTGAAAAAATTAGCTTCTTCCTCCTTCCGACCAGGCCTGCAGCAGGTGCTCAGAGCTCGTGAGAACTGGACACACGATTGAAGTGCTGTTCCACGAAGTCGAACACGGACTCCAAGGCCGCCGCCGACGTCATCTCGTGCTTCGGAGAGCCTGCAACAGAGAGCGCGCGTTGTCGTTAAACGCGCGGCCCAAGCGGCGCCGCAGCGCCTCTCGCTCGCGATGGGACGCGACAAGGTGTTTCAAAACTAACTGCTTTAACCCCTCGCAAACTAAATTTCGTAACATTCCAATTTCCAACAACTACTATGCCTTTATAATCAGTTTTAATCGCATATGACAAACATAAGCTGCACAATGGAAAATATCTTCTGATCCACCGGTTGCGCTGAGGTTCTAAGGTTCGAGTCCCGACGGAGGCGGCTTTTCGACACAGTACATAACTAGCCTCTATTCTAACAATATTCAGCGTCTTTCTCGAGAATCCTAGTAATCAACTACTCTGAACGGTGCTTACCCGTGGTTTCTCTGATTAACACCGGGCGAATGCCGGAACAATACGCTAACAAACGGGCCACGCACAGCAATCTATCTTTCCTTCCTCATCCTTGTATCCCCCTCTGCCCTTTCACATACAATTACATACACAACAGTGACACACATGTCGGAAGACCAATGGGGGCGCTTATAGCTTGAACCTGCTGGTGCGGATCTCCAGGTCAGGGGAGGCAATGAGGAACTGAGTCCTCGCAGCCGGTATTACATTTAATAAGCCTGCAAGAAAAAAATAACTGAAACTAATATTGAGGGCTGGTGTTAGACAACTGACCACGATTTAAATTTCGCAAGCGTGAATGGCGGATCCGTCGCTACCCGGAGGCGGAAGTCGCTGGCTGACGCACGGGATATGCGGCGGCAAAGGCTAATGCGCGCTCTCCGTGTGCGCACGACAAAAAGCCCGCGCGGCGGTAATGAGACCAGCTGTTAAAAATACGGGCAGCCGGCGGCCCAACGTCACGGAGTTTGCTCTGGGAATGTTCCACACAGGATGGTCCTGATTTCCGCCAATTCTACTTCCGTGGCAACTACGAATAATAAATATGAAAATGTGTAGGTACAAGTACTCGTAAAGCAGGTTCAATTCTGCTTCTATTTTTAATTCGCAAAAATAGAACAGGTTACCATGCTACGGAAAGCAGTTAGAAGCATTTGTTCCTAAGGAATACTTCGCGTGTTCTAATTACAAAGCATTTAGATATAAAATATAATCAGAACTCAATAAATAATTTGACAGATCCTTTCCTTAACAAAATTAATTCAGAAAACTTATGAAATAATAGGTATTGTAGAATGGAAAGGTAAAGGACACAAAAATATTTTTTACAACTCAATTAATAGTGTATATTGCTAAAAACATGGACAATGGAATGTTTAAAATACCATAATGCATTAGAACAATCACCATTTACAGTCAAATCTTACAATGAGAGAAAACAATAATATACAAACAAGACAATACACACGATAGCAAAAAATAGTTAAATTTAAATCAACATTAAAAAAGTATCCGTACATTTCCTTCCACGAAATATTTCACATTTTCAATTCAAATATCATGTGAAAGGAAATCTGTGTTTCTTGCACCAGAATAATATTTAACTCTAACTGGAATACCTAATATTCTTCAGCATTTTCATCTTTAACCCTTCATAAAAACTAATGGCATTACACACACACTGAAGGCTATGCTAGTGTCAGAGCTGAACAATATTGGTTCAGAGGCAAAACTATAATTCAGGAACCGCTATATTTGAAAACATATGTACATGATAATTTATCAAAGAATATATTTGTTTTTTTATATTAAATTTACACATATTTTTTAATAAAACATTAAATATTCATAAAAATATTTCAAATCACATAGAAAAATATTTAAGCTATGTTATTCTTAATGGTGGTGATTTTTACCATAAGCTTTCCCAATAAAAAAAATTACTGAAATGCATGAAAAGGCTACAACACGGAATTATTAAAATTCCCTTATTTCCCGTTACCTCGGAAGAAACGTAATGAAACTCGCCAAACACTCTAAATCGATCAAAATTGAATACAAAAAATCCCCCATGTGATGAACAATTGAATAAGAAAAAACACCCAAGAACTTCTTGTTTAACATGAAGTTAAAATGTTTTTATGTACTGAACAAAGCACTTCATGAACTTACTACCTCGGACATAAACGTATAGCATTGCTGTCCTTGAGAGTAAATGGATTTTATCACAGATAATCCTAACTTCAGTCTTCTGAGTTCTTAGTCAAACCTCTACTTCGTCTTATCGAATTTGAAACGACCTCTTTAAATCTTTGATTTTGCAATTTTGATAATTACTTAAAACTTATTTCTAATTCATTTTACGATCAAGTGTCTAACAAAATTACAAATAAATGAATATACCCCTATTACAGATGCGATAAACAGATGAAAGAGCCTGTTCTTACTTAAACATTACGAATACCACTCTGTAGTTCTTTATCAAGATAAAACATGTCATTTTTGTTTCAATTTGTTTGTATTCTCAACTCTTCATATTTGCGTAATATATATTTGTGTTTTTTGGTTTCTTCTATGTATCTAGTATGTGTGAAACATTTTTTATTATTCTACTTAATAATTGAATGAATTTAATAAATAAAAAATGTTTATCCATTCAGTAAATAACAGTCAAAGCAATTCTAATTTTTACTATATAAAAATGTTTCGCACCTTTTTACGTAGCCTAGTTCTAAATGGCCATTACACTAATACAAACCTCCAGTTCTACTTTATAAACATGGATATTTTTATATACGAAATTCTTACTCGTATTGTAAATTAATAAAAGCAGTATGTTACCAATATATGCCTAAAAGAAGGTTGGTTACTTAAAAAATCACATTTTATACTATTATTTTAATAGGTGTAATTTGTGTTCTTATAATAACGTGAAAAAAGCTTCCTAATAATACCCATTAGAAAATCAGTAAAATTACAGTACGTTCCAATTTCGTAGCAGTTGGTACCAATTAAGTTTTCATTCCATAAGTTCTCTGGTAATACAATTTCTACTAAAATCTAAGTCAAAAAAGCACTGAAATTAATGAAATGTACATTACATACCAAACGTGTATGAATTTGATCAAATCATTGTTTAAACATATTCACAACATTTTGGGTCTGTTTAGTCAAAGTTGGACTTCACATTTTCATTGCAAATTCCAAGAACCAACATTACAAACAATTGGACCTCACGCTTTCTCCAAACCTTTAACCCCATTTTACTAGGATGTAACCTTCTAGCTTATTGAGTTTATCCAGCAACAGCACTTCAAAATTGGATTCCATGAATTTATGTTTTACTGGTTTAATATCAAAGAAATGTGCATTCTTGAACGATAGTAGTTCAGAGAAGTCGTTTGAAAAACTACAAGGAAAGGAGAGTGCTAACATGATTGACACTCGATATTGGTAAGTACTGACGTAGGTTTTTCGTAAACGATTTTACACTTCAGCTATAGAAACCACGACATTCGAAGAATCACAATATCAATAGTATCGAACGTCCCTAATCATGGCAGCATGCGTCAACCCAAGATACGAAAGTAATTCCACTAGCGTGTTACTTCCTCACAGAGAAATTCCATTCCTTGGCTGTAAACAAAACGCAACTTTCTTTCAATTTTCGCTGTTAGGGTGGCGAAGTGTCCAGGACAGAGCTAATGACCTTTCGGTCGACATCATCATATGGTTTTCGTTAAGGATAGCTATCCCATACGGTTTTCCGTAAGGACATGGGAGCAAGTAAAACAAGGAAGGTCACACGTAGAAACTTTCTGGACGTATCGGCATCACGTGAACAAGAACATAATAATTACTCCGTTTGCGGAAGTTTTCCCATTCCGATTTACTATAATGACGCAATCGTATCATTATCTTGACCGGATTCACTCATTGATCTCCTCAATCGTCTTTCGCGCATCAACTGATCTTTTGAAATCGGACTTGTTATGTTTGTATTGGAACACACAACGGCGTAAAAGATGGAAAGAATGATATCAAATTGCCACATTTTAAAATGTAGATCCTACAAGTTGAACCCCCAATATGTCTCGTTTACGAGGCCCAATTCTTGAAAGTTACTAAGAAGTTTATATATTATTTCTACTCTCATCAGTGTAACTATCACACAGCATGGGAAAATTGCACGTTTTCGTATCAAAATTGAAGTTCCGATGTCCACAATATTGTGGTGGTCGTTGGGGTTAAATGTCTATAATAAAATTGTTAATTGTTCCCTTATTCGAGAACTTGATTATAAAAAATGCCAAATACTGTCCGAAAAAGACAGGAAAGTCGAAGTCTTCTCCCATACCTACCACGTGGACAACGACGCGCCAAAGGTAACGCGAACTATTTGTGCAACGCTAAATGCTGAACGCCTTTGGTCCATTTATTTCCGAGTCATTAGTCACTTTTGAATCCTAAGCCTTTACGTCGGCATTCAAACAGATTTTAGACTATTTTCTTTCGATTCTAATTAACCGAAGTAAAAGACAACATTAAAAATGTTATAACAGAAAATGATGAAAAAATATCACCCAATTAATACAAAAAAGTCGGCAGTTCTCGAGCAAGTGGTCAATATTAATGTGTGGAAGGCATGTTGAAAAAGATGTGAATGATTTTCGGTGACTATCATATCCACGAACATTACGAATGCTGCAACAACATATTGTAAGTTGAATGAAAAATTGTTAAGCTGTTTAAGCTACATAATTAGATTGCTATTTCATTTTAAAAAGTTGAATATCTTATAAGTTGTAGTCTTAAATAAAATGTTTGTCTTTATGTAGAAAACAAGGCACGATTAAAATAAACATGTTATTAAATCATCATATCGCTGAGGCATCGTTTATGTAACGCCTTCAATGGCGTGAAGCGACGATTTGTGAGAGATCAGGATTGATTGTTTTAATACAATTGCCAATTCCGGAACAATGTTTCGAACGTTCAGTTCTGGCAGAAGGAAGACATTCATGATCTTTGGACAGCAAGATTCCTCTTATCTTACATTTTGTTTTGTATCATAACTTTGTCAGAATAATTTAGAATA